GAGCAGTGCTACACCCTTTTTCACTTGTGCCTTTCAGGTGAACGAGAGCCACTGACCGACAAGAACGAAACCGACCCGGGAAACTTGGGCAAAAGCCTCGATCCTGTGTATCAATCCGTGAATCTGGGAACGGGAACGATACCGGGTTATTTCATATTATTTTCATGTCGCACTCATTTCAGCGTCCTTTATATATGGACAACACACAATGAAGCACGATCACACGCATAGATCGCGCGTCGTATCGCGGGCCGACTGAACCATCAAAAACTACGGAAAACCAGAATCGTGTAGCAGGTAATCTGTCAAAAGACACGACTACCTGCACCCAAACAAACTCGATGTAACTACCACAACTTACACTCAGAACGTTATGTCCGTCGTTTGAATCTTTCTATTTTTGTATTTTATTGGACTTGATTAAGATGCACCTAGTTGTTGTAACCTCACGCCCTCAAAACACATGTTTTATTAGTGTCCCTTTCTCGCCTTCTGATTTACCAAGTGGTTTTAGTTGCTTACTACAGAGAACACTATTATCACCGCTTAACCGTGTTTGTCCAGAGCAATTTGCGCTGTATGATCGAAGTGATATCTTTTTTTATTGTTTTACACAAAAATTCATCAATATAAACAGCAAACGATGGCTGAAGAGGAGTTGCCTCTTGCTCACTTTTACAAATATTGCGGGTGGTAAAAGCAGCGACGTGGAACATATCCCCTGAAGTTATTGAGGCTTTGTTTTACTTGTTTTACTGGACAGAAGCTCGGATAGAGGGGTACGGTTAAATTATTGATAGCTAACTGAACTGGAAAGACTTAATAGAGGGACATGTTGGAAGGGTTCAGCGAATCAGGAGCCATAAGCCGGAATGCCCATTACACGGGTCAAAGCAAGATGTTTGGCTAAGGCACGCCAATTTGAACATTTGACCCGAAATCTGGACCGTAGAACAGCGGTTTTTGGAGTTCCCTTGAGGTACCATTCTAGGAGCCAATGATCCAACTGGCCAAAGCACTCAGCCGAAAGGGGCTAGTCCACGTCGAGGGCACAGTTAGTAACGCATAACTGTTTGACTCCCTACATGGCCGCGAACGGTTATTACAGCACCGAACTCTACATTCGATAAAAATTTAAAACCAAAATGAATAATGCGCCAGTGGTCACGCCTGTCTGTTTGGTGATCGGAGCGTGGTTCCAACCCGACCTCTTTGTCTAGACTTCTCCCGTCTAGGCTTGGGTGACCTGTCAGTATCCCAGCCCTCGTGCTTCCTTCGAACGACATGGCAACTAGGCACCCATAGGGTGTTACTGCTCCACGAACGATCGTGAGGTGTCTGCGCTGTTCTTCTGTGGTCCGTCCTTTCTTTGACGGAGACAGTATCGCAGCTTACATAAATGTGGACAACGTAGTCGTTTAGGTGGAACGCCCTATTGCCTTCACACTCCTTTTGCAGTACAGGCTGACTCATTACGATTTCTGCACTTCATCGCTCCGCCCCGAAGTGCAATTCCTGGAATGAACGGGGCTTGACGTAGTGTGGCCCACAAGAGTATTGCGGGACTGAAATCTTTGAGTGGATCGCAGTGTCTATAGGATATCCTCTCTAAATCCTTGTCCCTCTTAAAAGCTCTCTTTGCTTGCTCTCTAAGACGCATGTGTACCGACGGCGAACTCAGCCTAACTGGTGGTCTCCCCGCATCTTTTCTCTTCAAATTCACAATTTATTTTATGCCCGGATATTCGATACTTGACTCCGACACTTCTGGAATCGAAGTACCAAGCGCTGATTAGGATAACAGTATTGCTTTTTTGGATCAGCCCATTATGGAGGCAACAATCTATTTTACGTAACCGACATAGTTCTGTCGCGCGTTTTGCAGTGTAATTTACACCTGGTAATCACAATACTATATGGGATTAATCGTTCTGCTTCCTGAGGTACCGGCCAACATGATAGATAAGTTTCTTTATCTTGGTAACTGCGTGAATTACGGTGGACTGACAAAAGATAAAGTTGATTCCTAAACTAGGAGGACCAGGGCATTTGTAGCGTCAATAAAAATCACTCTACCTTGACAACGCTGCTGCTCCACCTCTCGTAATACGTGAATCAGAAACGTGACCAGTGTTCGCAGCTAACCAAAGGCTCTGCTTAGAAATCGGTGATTCTGAAGTATTCGAGAGTCTTGTAGAAACATCGCATCGGTGAAGGCACTTTACCATCGACTGATCGACCGGTCAGACCATAAGCTACGAATTCAAAAGCCAAGAGCTCGTTCGCCTTACTGCACTCTTTTCCCCCAATCATACGTAAGAAGAAGCCAACCCAATGGTGGTCCGCCAATGACCTAGCAGCGAAACAGAAGCCCTCTCAAGTCAACTCAGTCGCGTTGGTAATATCCTTTGCTTTGGTGGGAATTCATGGAAGATATAAACCAACAGTTAAATGCCCTGACAGGCGTAGCTACGTCGCACGACAAATAGCGATCCAGGATCAAGACTCCCGCAGTAAGCGGCTCTTGAGTTCTCTCTGCCTGGCATAGTGAATAAGTGAACTGGCCGGGTCAACGTCTTCTGGAACAGCAGGTGAAATTAGATACACAATATGTATTTGAAGGAAGGAAACACACTATGTACTGTGGGCTTGGGTCACACGAATTCCGGGAAGGATACACCTTCACACTTCCGGCGTGAGAGACGGTGATGCTGCTCGCCTTTCCTCTTTGCTTTTAACGTTACAAACGTTCTAGCAAATGTAACTCGCTCGAGAATTCTGGCGACACTAGGCCTAACCCAAGGCTCAAAGGCCTAGCGTGCAATTGTGGATCTTTCAGCTGGATGGTCTCCCTGTGCAAAAGATTATCTTTTCTAAAGCGCTCGGAAGAAATTGACTGGAGTTTTCTCTGTGTAGCAACGATGACGCCAGAGTATGGTTTAATTATGCTTCCAAAGACTTAATTCCCAGTGAGAAACCCGCTAAAGGTACACAGGGATAAGCGAAAATCCGTGTAAAACTTGTCGTACGCGACGACAACATTCTAGAAGTTTGGATGCCTTTTAAAAGCAGTTTTGCAACCGGCAGTCGGCGGACACGGTGGCGTGATTGACTGTTGGCACATCAGAACTCGCAATGATACTAGACCCACAAGCTACCCGTTTTCTTGACCTATCAAATGCGAGTTGGTCTTGGAGACCCTTTCAGCACCAACTTGCGAACTGCAAAGTAGTTTTGGGTAAGATTCCACCCAAAATCTCGTCCCTGTTGTATCATTCAAGCGGTAGAGCTATAAGCTACAGAAGATGAAAAAATGAAGAACTTGACTATCCTCTGTTAAAAAAATTTCGTAAAAACCAGGTGGAATAGGCTGAAGACTCTATGATGCCCATGGCTTACGTCGACGCGTGGAGCTGTAACTACTCCTATCATAATTGGGGTGGTATCGCACCAAAGCCCACTTAATACTAAATGCAAATTTCTGTGCGGAGTGGTCAGCGTTACGGAGCTCCTTAATTGCCAGCACGTAAAAAGGCGTGTCACTGGTAACAAAAAGCTTCGGTCTAATTTATGGCCGATGCTTTGATGTGTTGAGTCCAGGCGCTGTGTTGCTTTCCTGGAGTCGATTGAAGTGCAATAGGCTGCTGGTGATTCATCCAGCAGGTCACAGAATGGCGGGAAAATTCGTAGAGTAGTTGCCAGACATTTTGTGGTCGCACAAATTCGACTGACTTCTTAATGTAAAAACGCTTCACGAAGGGACGGATAGGTCACGAAAAAGTATTCCAGCAAGGTGGCGTTTAGCTGGCACACTGGTTGGGAGACCCATACTGTCCATTTAAGCCTTGATTTCAGGTTTTAAAATTGATCTGTGCAACACAGTTGCTTCGCCTTATTTGGTGGTTATAATGATGCCTGTCAATGTGTAGGATATTTTTCATCTACCTTGATTTCGTTTCGTATCAGATGCTTGTTTTCGAGAAGAAATTCGGTCCAAGCTTGGGCAGCAATTTTTATGGTTGCCGCTTGCAGCACTTCTTGTACGCTATTTTGAAAATTTGTTATCACCCTTGTTCGAAGGTTTGTGGCAGGGTGGTTTTTGTTGGATCCTTTGAGCTACTGAATACTATTTGACCGCAGGATCCCTTTTTTACACTCGGATGGGCCCTATGGTGCTCGCCTCCAAATGGTCTCTGTGGTACGCCCAGGAGTCTCACTTTTGCAGATGATGGCACTCTGATTCTGCCAGCGGCCTCAGCTTCTGTTGTGTGGCTTATCAGTACTGACGTGCAGCTCGCCCGTCATTTTCATTACGAACTGGCTCCATGAAGTACGTTCAGGTGGGGCACTAGTAGCGATTGTATTCAGAATGAGAAGGCCGTTTCCGAAAAAGTTGGGCTGGATGCCTTTATTTTCAGAGGAGGGATCGTCCTCAGTTGTCATTTCCTCAGCTTCCTCCTGAACTCCATTCACGAAGGCTAGTTTAATATGGACTAGCTGGTCGGTGGCCGGTTGCTGCTGGACGTTCACCGGTTCTCTGTCGAGGCCAACTTTTGCGGCTGCTTTTGTATTGGATTCATCCCATTTCCCTGCACGGCCCCCTCAAAATATATTGGTTCATGTGTCTTGCGAACGATTTCGGCTGCTGATGATTTCCACTCTGGTTAAGGAATAACTGGTGATAAGCTCATATACCTTTCTTGTACCACGTTTTCCAAGTTTGTTTCCACTTGAACGCCACCAACGTTAGCATTCAATGAGTTTACGATGGCTGCAAAAGAAGCTGCAAGCTGTAGTCACGGTCGATTATTTCAGTGAGCTCTTGGAAGCAAATGTGTCCGCCACTAATGTCTAGTTGACCAGAAGCTCGAGAAATCTGGCCAAAGGTTGGCCAGATTATCGAGGCTTCACTTTATTTTCGCTCCTGATCTTCAAACGAAGTGACCCTTTTTAAGCGGCCAAAGAATCTTCTCTGGTTGTATATTTATGCTGGCATGGAAATTTTGAATGCCTGGAAACTGCTCTAATCCTCTTCGTCCCTCAATAAAAAACGGAGTAACCGCGAAGCTGAAAATTCCTTCGCTTTCTAGTCATCATAGCTCTTCTGCATGGAAAATCTTGCTAGGCTTTCGTAAAAACAGCACAGATTTTTTCGCCCCTTTCAGAACACGAGCCTCTGCTTTCCAACTTGTTCACACTTGTAGCAACCAAGTCACTGATCACAGCAGAAC